TCACATCATAAAGCGAACTCTCTGGCCTATCAAAGGACACTCTCCACAGGCTAAGTTAGAAGGTGCAATGAAGACTTTGGTCTTCCATATTCTTCATGGCAAAAGCTTCAATGCACAAGATTTCTTCATCCGCCAACTTGCTACATCAGGGTCTGACATCTTTGGTTTGAAGTTCTATGCTCCATGGATCATGCATCTGATCAAGCTTCACACTGCTTTCAACTATCAGCCATCTGCACGCAATCACATTGTCTTCTTGCCTGATGTTGATATGTCTGTTGAAGCCATCTATCCAGAGCCTGACAAAGAGCCACTTTACCTTCATAATGTTGATCGTCAAAGCTTCACTCAGCCCATTGAAGGTGTGCTGGCTGCCACTCGTGTCTATCCATTGGCTGATACTACACGTGCACCTCACCATGCCCCAACTGAAGCCACTAATAGCACAATTGCTCAACGGCCTCGAAAGCGATCTCGTGTTCTCAATGACCGAGAGCTTCTCGTTGGCATGCATCAGAAACAGGATAGGCATCACGATTGGCTCAAGCGCTAGATGCAGAGCATTATGACTAATGTCAATCGCATTCGCAATCTTGCAACCAAGAATGCGTTTGTCGCGCATGAAACCTGTCGACGCACATGGAAAGGGCTGACTCTTATGTGCGCTGAGGAAAATCTTCAAGACGATGGCTTCTCAGAAAGATTCAAGTTTGATTCCACTCCGCCCAAAAATGTTGTTCTGCGGCGCACTCCATCTCTTGAAGACTCTGAGTACTCCTCTTCTGCTGCAACAGTAAATGCTCATGTGATCGATGATCAAGACAATGCTACTTCTCCACCTCCAACGCGCATCTACACTGCTCCAAGTTTGTCTGCACCGCCAAACCTCGACACTAACCCTGCATCTTCTCCTACTCCTTCTGGGAACAAGTAGAGGCTCACTGTCTTCCAACCTTTTTGGTCCTTACTGACAAAAGAGGGAGAAGCTATGAGTTGATAGTCTTCAGGCAGGTTCATATGGGCGGTTGCATTATATTTTGCCTAGTGTTTACAACTCTTGCTTTTGATACATTTGGTTCTCTGAGTTGTAACACTTAAACTCGATGGTTGTCTGCTACTTATTTGCTATTCTGTGATGCGATGATAAATTCCGCATGTGCGACGATAACTTCCGCACTTCAATCATTTTGCAGACATCCATTTTTCATTATGCATGCCATTATCTTTGTTACATCAGGTCATGCATGATGAATTGTCTTCATAAGTTGGAGAGGATCTCCACAAATAGAACCTGCCATGTGCATTTGCATTCCAAAAGCAAATTATTTAGATGCACATCTTCAGGGGGAGCCTTTTGCTACTTACGAAGACAATACCTCATTCTTTACAATTTCACATATTTTTATCCCCGTTGAAAACTTCAACCAGTTTGTCATCAATCACCAAAAAGGGGGAGATTGTAAGTGCATCTAGTGCCTCCCCTAGTTTGGTTTTGGAGTATTGACGACAAACGTGGTTGAGGGACTAATGTGTTTGTGAGAATTGCAGGATAACACAGGTAGTAGTCCCTCTTTGATTCGGTTTACCTACCGGAGATGGCCCCTAAAAATGTATGAAGACATTGAAGATAATGGTGGTACATGAAGATATTCACATTGAAGACTATGACAGAAGAAGACATTGAGTAAAGACTATGGAGCGCGAAGACTTAGTAGTTTCGCTGTTTCTTTTCTTCTTTGTTGAGTCATAGGAACCACCGCACTGTTAAGTGGGGTCTAAGTGAACAAAGTCAAAGTGACTGATGTGATGCTCAACCAATTTCCTATGTCTTCGAGCGAAGACAATGAGAGCAAATCTTATCCAGAGTAGGATAAGTCAGCTTTACTTGTAGCCCAAGTCAAGCTGTCGCGTGTGTTTGAAATCTGACCGTTGTGACACGTGTCAGTTCCTTAGTGACCCAGGGTCATTTTGGACAAATCAGGTCGGGTTGCCCTGTGGCTATAAATAGCCCACCACCTACACCATAAATTGGTGGCTGCTCAGAGTTAAGTGCACGGCTTTTGTCGTTGAGAGCAACCCACCTCCGAAGAGTTTGAGAGAGAAATCCTTGTGAGGATATAGCCCAAAACACCCAGATCCCAAAGAGTGTTTGGCATCACTGAAGTCTTTCTGTCTGCGTGACCTGAAGACTTGTTACACTTGAGGACTGTGAATCCTCCAGCCAGTTAGGCATCGCGTTCTGAGCATCCAAGAGTAATTGTGGATTGCCGGTGAACGAAGTCTGTGAAGGTTTGGAAGTCTACCTTGAAGACTTACCAGAGTGATTGGGCGAGGACTGTGTGTCCTTAGCTCAAGGGGAATAAGGTGAAGACACGGTCTTCTGAGTTCAATCTCATCCTCCCTAACCAGACGTACAGTTGTCACAGCAATTGGAACTGGTCGAACAAATCCTTGTCTTCACAACGCACTGGTTCTATCTCTTACTCTCCTTACTTACAGTTCGTCTTTGTGAAGTCATTGCATGATTGCTATGCCTGTTTGACTTCACTGTGTGACTACTTGTTCTGATTGGCTTCGTACTATCTTCCATCCTGAACCTACTACCTAGCTGTTATATGTCATCATGCTTTAGCTTCATACTTGTCTGACTGTGGCTTGTCTAGTGTAGTTCATCTTCCGCTGCATGTTTATAGGTCCTGATTGCATGTTTGTCTTTGAAACTTTCATGTTTTGAAGACTTTCATAGAAATCGCCTATTCACCCCCCCTCCCTCTAGTCGATTATTAGAACTTTCATATAGTACAAACCAGACGATAGAGAAGGAATTTTCTCATGTACCTTTTTGCCATATCCATGATCTTTGGCAGTAGTCCTTAAAACCATGTCCTTAAAACTCTTTTTAAACCATGTACTCACCAATGGACTCACATATCTTTGGCAGTAGTCCTTAAAACTCTTTGGCAGTCATCTTTGCCTTTCCTCTCTTTTCTCTCATGATTTGCTCTGAGTAGTCTACGTGCGTGACAACGTGTTTGAAATCAAGTGATTGATTGCTCTTGACGCGTCGGTTCCAGGACGAGCGGGAGAGGCGTCGGTTGTGGGAGGAGCCGCCCGACGGTTTGGGAAAGAGGAGATTTCCCTAATTACATTAAGTAATAAATCTTAACAATATCAAAATCCATAATATGAAATGAATTTCTATATATTTTTTGTTTAATATGGTGGATGTCTATATTTTTTGCACACCAATTCAAGAGGACCTTGTCGAGACAACACACATGCATCATCGTCATCGCTCTTTCCCTGGAGGCATCATCACCATCCATAAACTATGAGCAAACAACTCCGACTTTGCTGTAGGCGATCTTCGACTCGACCCACACCGTAGAGGACACGTGAACCTATATAAAGATCTGCGGCAAAACTCAGCCACCGGCGGCCAAACACCCCGACTCTGACGGAGAACTCTGAAGGACAAAACCAGTCACAGTTGGCGCCACCGAAGATCGCCCAATGGGCCACTATAGGCAGTTGTCGTACACCACAGGGCCCGGCACCGCAGCTTCGACTCCATAGCAACAAACAAACCGAAGCATGGACGCGCCGGACAAGAGCCGACTACCGCAACCACTGCTAGACATCATAATCGTTGCAAACCACCGGTCCCGAGCCTTTAGTTCTTCAGATCTTGTCAATTGGTATCATGAGTTGTTGATAGGCGTTTAAATCTGGATAGGGCAATGTTGAGTCTTTGTCCTCGTAACTACGGTGACATTGAGGACTCAAGGCGGCGTGCAGTGGCGGTTGCGTCGTTTTAAGAGTGCATGAATTTATGATGGAAAGAAGGATGGCATGAACTTGCGATAGGACAACACAGGAACTGATTAATTAAGATCAGGAAGAGCAAGATAATTGGACAGACATAAGATCAATTGAGAAACAACATGATCAAAGGATTGAAAGGAAGAAGTCAGATGACGCGAAAAAGAGTAGGGAAAGGTGACACCGGAACAGGTGTCCAGAGTAAGAAGGTAAACAATATCAATGGATGGGACATGATTGAAAAGAAGATTCGGTTTAAGAAAGAAGGATTTGAACAGGACGGAGGATTGAAAAGAAGAACCGGTTTAAGAGTAAAGAGGGAATTAAACAAGATGAGAAGATGAAACCTAACACAGGAATAGGGATGTACGAGAACGGTTGGACGAAGTAGTACAAGATAAACGTACGTATATATTGTGTCATATTGACAGGGTTGAGATTTTTTTTCTCTTTTTCAAGCAATTTCTGTTAAAACAAGTGCCCCAATCACCGTGCAAATCAATAGACAGATGTGCTGGTGCGTGCCCTGCAAATTTTCGTTGTTTTAGCTGTCATACGTCAAAGCGTGACTGGCGAGGCGGCCAATGTCAGCAAGCAAACAGGTCATCGCTTCAAATGACAGTAGTACTCAAGCAAACAGGTCATCGCTTCAAATGACAGTAGTACTCAAGCAAACAGGTCATCGCTTCAAATGACAGCAATACTGTGATCCAATAATGCTGTAATCCATAGAGACGATGATTATTACTCGCTAATTTACATAAATATCCTTAGTTCAACTCGAATGAAAAAGATGACCCTACTCCAAGCTGTTAACTATGGTTCAGAGTTACAAATCTAGCATGTAGTAAGAGAGAATTTATCACAACTATTATTCCCTATGTTTTTGTTCTTTTCTGTTTGGCACTCATCCATCACCATAATACCTAGCCAGATTGATCAAAAAGCAAGAGCTTCATATGTACAAACACCATGCAGCAACCAGATATAAGGGAATCAATGTCCTGCACGAGAGAACACATTACGTGTAACGACCAAGTACCTCCAGAAGGCAAGGATCCCAGCCACATGCTCAATCGCTCATCCACTTCAATCACAGTGCCTACTGTCAAGATCACAGTGCGTAGATGCTACAGATTTGTACAGCTAAAACTAGGCACGCTTCTGATCCCCCTCTACTACAAACTGATCCCGCCACGGTGACGTCCATGGTGCAGTATTGCTGCAGCAACTCCAACCATGCAAAGAGCAACGAGTATATTGAGTCCTGTTGCTGAACAGCCTCTAAATGCCCTTTGGACGCCCCTGAAAAATCCTTGGTTGTTGTGACTTCCACACTTCTCTGCATCAGACTGCCTGGCACAAGTAATATCACGCACATGTTTCTTCTGGTGTTTCACATTAGTCATGAGATCAAGATGACCGTTATTGTCAACGAACTTGATAGTCTGGTTGATGGATTCAGAGCTGCTCGTAACCATCCTGCCAAGACTTTGCTGAAGTCGAGCCTTGTATGGTGGAACGCTAGCTGCAGATGTTCCCCCATGACGTGTTCGCACTACAATTCCAGTATCAGCAGGTTCATACAGATTAGGCCCATTATTTTCCAGAGGTAACTGTAGCTCTTTCATCTGAAATTCATCCATGAAGTTGTTTGACAGACTGAAGGGATCCGCCGCCGTAAAGTATGTTTGCTGCCATGAAGTGAAGTCATCACTACCAGGATACAACATGGAGTGAATATCATCTGGCAACAGGAAGTCTGTATCGTCTACCACAGTCTGGTTAGGACTGGCATAGTCCAGTTCCACCTTCGGAGCCATAGCACCAATGTTCTGTAATTCAGCAGGGAAAATAAATGCAATGAGTAAGCATGCAGGAACTAAAAATATAGTACCATGCCCAGCAGAAAGGAGACGATTGCTCATAATTTGCACTCATAACTTAAAATTAATATTTTAAGGAGTATTACTGTTACACATGAGCCCATAATCCTGAGGTACACACAAATTCAGCAACAAAGAGACAGGACAAAGGAGTAGCACTAGCACATAAGCTAGTTTAAGGAATTGACAGGCTACTAACACCAGGTCCAGAACAAGTTGTAATAACTAATAACTCTGGCTAGTTTCAACTTTATTTAAGATTGCATTGGACAATTCAGAGTTTCTTGAAAATAATTAATAGCACTGCAATTTAGATTTTGTTTTCGTGTGCATAAATAAACTCATTTGTAGTGCACTGTTGTCTGTGGTATCCACATATCGGCAAAGTTCTACCAGTATTTTCTGGCGTGAGTGATTTATGCATACCTAGTTAGCTCTATCAACTACCACCAAGCAACTCGCACATGCATGAGATCAAAATTATTATGAAGAAGCTTCTTGGCTTGCAAAATCTACCTAATAGTTTCTTGCCTATGCATAAGCATTTTTCCTTACAAGGGAACTATTGGTTGAATTGTTTAAATACTAAGCACTGCTGTGAGTGATAACATACCAATGATTCAGCATTTTGTTCATCCGGAGACAGTTGAGCAGAAACAGAATCCACTGCAGTGTTAGCAGAAGGATCAAAGGAGGTATCAAGCAGTTCTTCCAGCCATTCTTTAAGGTCATCATTCCCATCTGGAGTCATGTGAGCAGGGATAGCTACGGTAGCAGCATCACTTGGAAGTTCATCACCAATAATTGATGATGCAGCAGTATCTGGCTGTTCAACACTGACAGCTAAAATAGCAGCAACATTTGCTTGTTGTGGCTGAGGGTTATTATTGCCCACCTCGTTACCATTCTCTGATGTCCAGTCAATTCTTTTAGTAACTTTACATAGAACAAAGGCATCCTGAAGAAGAAAGAAACAACATTAGCACACTAGATTTCAAGTTTGTGCCTTTTTTTAAGGCATCTAACATGTGAAATGCACATCAAGTAATGTAACATAACATGTAAAAGATGCAACGGAATGTATCTAGCTCTCTCATGCTGTTTCTTAATATACTAATGTTTTGAAACCTCAATTGTTGGTACAATACCTTCATATCAGGGCAGGATTGACATTCGTTCTCATCTATGTAGTATTCATGCATAATCCACTCAGTACGTTTTCCAGTGGGAGGCCGACCTTCATGAAAAACTAAAGTTTTCTTTGTTCCTATGGTCCTCTTATCCACCTTAATGGCCCGGTCTTTTCCAGTAGACTTCCAATACCCAGCAACCGTTGCCCTATTTGACCGAGCACCATTAGGATACTTTCTGTCTCGAGCAGCAAAGAAATGCCACTTGTTATCCTGTGTTGGAACATTGCACTTCGCTGTAACATGGAATATCATCAGAGGGTTAGATAAGGATTTGAAGAACACAGCGGATAAATTCTAGAATGCATCGGATACTAAAAGCAGAAAGTAAATCCTCCATAATGCTAAAGGACCGGTACTGACAAAGAAACTACATCATTAGAATCAACTGTTAAATTTATTAGACGAAAGACAAACAGTATTAAGATTAACTACTAACACTAGTTAAACAAGGGTATATGTCACGTTCTTTAGTTACTCTTACTAAATGTCTAGTTATGATTCATTACCCCATAATTATGATTGTGTGACACGAGAAGGCTCAATTTGTGGAGAAGAAACTAAACTGTTTTCTCCTCCATACTGTATTTTTCTATGAACCAAAATAATCACAGGCAACCATATAGAAGCATCATCAGCTTACCAGGTAAATCCCATGGTTCATGCTTGTATATATCCACCTCTGGTATAATGTCATATTCAATTTTCTGACCAAGTATTTTCTTTTTCAGATAGTGAGCAACGAGTTCAGTGTCCTTAGGATGGAATCCAAATCCTGGTGGCAGAGCCATGTCACGTAGAGTTTCCATTGTATATGATCTGCGCAAGAATAACAGAACATAAATACGATTAGTACGGTGATTTTGAAACTGTGCAGAGTAATTAGAACCACTTTTATAGTATTCTTATCGCAGTACCCCCTCTCTCCCCTTACTCCACACGACCAAAAGGGGATCCATTAGTACTGCAACCAGACGGCAATGAGCCCCGGCTCCCCACGCACCATGGTGCAACTCGAATCCCCGCTATGTGGTCGATCGAGCCAACGGGCCGTGGTTTCGCAGGAAGGGGCCCCGAATCGAGCTCCGCATGCGCCAAAATTGGGACTCGAGGAGAGGAGGAGTTCCGGCCAAAAAAATAAAAAAATCTCTCCTCCCTGCCCCCAAAGGCGTAAATCCAGGAGCACCAAAACCTCGAGCCCTAAACCAACGAGAGCTCTGCCAGCAACCGCGGCAAAAGCGCCGGCACCCAGGAAGGCGCCTCTTCTCACGCGAAACGGAATGGATCGGGAAGTGGTCGCCGAGGAAGGAGTTCCCTCACCTGTGGTGCGGAGAGCAGAGCCGCGCCGGCGCCGGGACGTAGCCCCGACCGATCGATCGGAGGGGAGAGCGGTAACCAGCAGGGGGAAGCCGGAGCTGGGGCCACGGACGGAAGACGGCGGGCGGAAGGGGATCGCGGAAGAGGCGGTGGAGGCGAAGAGGCCGAGGCGGTCGCAGGAACCGGTCAAGTCTTTGTGAGGGCTGGCTGGCGGGTGGGTGGGGCGGCCGCGGCGTGGTGCTGTGTCTCTTGCCAGCAGACGCAGACGCAGCGAGGGGGGGGCTGGAAAAGGGAATGGGATGCGGGCCGCGTGAGGTGAGACGTGGGGTGAGAGGATGAGGAGGAGGGACTGCGCGAGGAAGCTGCCAAGAAGCGGGCCTGTGGCGTGCGCCCACTCTGTGCGGACGCGGTTTTAAACCAATAAACTCGCTTCCTTAACGCGGGCGTCCTCCCTCCCGGTCAAGCCGTCGGATCCGCTGATTCGCTCCCTCGGGGCGCCGGTGCGGTGGCGGTGGGGCCGGCAGCCACGTTGGTCCTCCTATCGTGTCTCCCAAGTCTAGCTATCGTGGGCTTTGGGAGTGGCGTGCTGCTACTGGCTACGCTCACTCATTTGGAGCCTTGGCATACCGCCGACTGTCACAGCTCAGAAGCCGGACTCTGCCGCCTCAATCCGTCCCGAACGCGCACTCAGAGCAATCCAACGAGGCGACCCATTTCATCTGCCGCCGTCTGTTTGGGTCGGCACAGAAAAAAAAGGCGGGCCAACGTGCCGATTCAAATGGACGCGCGGCCGTTTTTGTCTGCTTGCCGATCCATTCCTCATTTTTGAGCCGGATTTGCGTCGGCGCAGACACAAGACGGACGCGCGCGCTTGCCCTCTTTCCTCCCCGCGCGTGCACACCCTCCACCGCTTGCTTCTTCGCCAACGCCGCCAGCCATTTTTTCGATGAAAAGGGATACATAGATAGTTCTTGTGTACACAGATAAAAGAAAAGATCAACTACTCGTCGGTTTCCGACTCTAACTCGGTAATGTCCTCCTCCGACGTCTGAATGTAGGCGTCAGCAGCCTGCTCATACTCGAAGTCCCACCCCGATGTTTCTTGCAGCTTTAGTCTCAATTGAGCGGCCTGCTTCCGCGCAAGCTTGCCCTCCCGATAGGCGGCTCGCTCCGTCCTCCTCGCCTTCCTCTCCGTCCTCCTTTGCTCATAGAACTGACGTTCGTTGACGATGTCTTACGGGAAGCGTTCGCGCCACACCACCAAGGCTTGCACGTCCATCTCGGCGATGGCGAGGCGACGTTGCCGCCTCCAGTGGACGCGACGATCCTCGTCGGTGAAAAGCCGCGGGAGAGGCGCCAGATCCTGCGCCCGCTGGCTCGACACGTCGGGAAAATTAATCTCCCGACTAGGCCGCCGGAGGCGCCACGCCGCCGCGTCGTATGCACGGGCCGCCTACTCTACGGTGTGGAAGGCACCGAGGATGAGGCATTTCTCGCCAAACAAGATCTCGGCGGAGAAGGCGACGGAGGGGCGCTCGCGGACTCCGCGAAAATCCGAGGAGGCGCATCGACATGGTGGCGCAGAGGCGGCGAGGCTAGTGAGAGGGGGCGAGACGAGTGGGCGACGGACTGAGTGTGAAGGGAGCGCCGCCTTATAACGAGCGCCGGCCGCGGCGTGCCAAAACAAGCGCGCGAACCTTAAACGCGCTCTGGAGCGCCAAAGCCAGCGCGCGCTAGGCCGACTTTGCCCTGCGCGCGCGAACCTTTCCTGCGCGCTGGAGAGCCAAAACCAGGGCGACGACATGGCCGCTGGCATGATCTAAAGCGCGCGCGGTCATGAAATGGGTCGACGCGTTGGGCGCGCTGCCGATCCAAATCTAAAAGAGGGCGGACGCCGGGCGGGCAGCCGACCCAAACAGACAAAAAACGGACAAAAGCACCGTCCATTTGGGTCGGCCCGTTGGAGTTGCTCTAAGGCTGCTCACAGTGGTGAGTAGCTTAGAATACTACTCCTTCTCTAAACTAATATAATAGCGTTTAGATCACTGAAGAGAGTATATTCGTCCGGATGTATAAGACATGTTCATAGTTTGAGGTAAATAATTTATTTAAATAAATATATCAAAATATAAGATGTTTTTTGACACTGTAAAAAAACGTACCTTGCAAAAACTTCTTATATACCTTGAAAATATTTGTCGTAAAAATGGATATATCTACAACTAAAATACGTCTAGATACCTCCATTTCTCCGACAAGTATTTCCAAATGAAGGGAGTATGTAATAAAAAAATATATGTTAGAAACTACATCCTTTTATCACACTAATGATATGCTTTTGGTGACACATGGTAGCACAATGGCAAAGTGCGTTCTGTTTTCACTCAAGCCACCTAGGTTCAAATTTCCGCACCTACCTAAGGCCCCTCCCAATGCTCCACCTTGTACAGGTGCTAAGCTTGCCAACTAGGCAAAAAATCTGATGTGGCGTGCTAGTTAAGAAGAGAGAGAGTAGTATGGTGACCCCAGGAAGAAACCGTGCTAAGCACGTGTACCTAGGTGGAGCACAATTCTGAGTCTAGAGCTAATTAAATGCATGAAGCTTAGCACCCAAAAGCTTAGCACCTTTGCATTGGGGACTTGAGTTGCTAAGGCATTTAATATACTTAGCACCATATCTAAGCACCTTTGCATTAGGAGAGGTCTAACAACAAAAGTTAAAGGAGGGAACTTACCCCTTAGCCTCGTTTCTTTAATAATATTTAATTAGAAAAATCAATGACTTAGAACTACGCGTACCCGCTATGCACCCTGACGTAGGAAGTAGTAAGTTATTATTCTTTGTTACTAATTTCGTAAATGAGTAGTGTCATATGTGTGACAATAGTGAGACCTTGATTTATTACTTTGTAGAGTCATTTTTAATTGGAAAGCGCTATGTGACGGTAACATATTAGGTTGATCACAATGTGAGTATCATAGGTAGTATCATGCATACTAATTAGGGCCTCCTTTGGTTCATGGGATAGGAAAGTCATAGGAATAGAAAAGTCACAGGAAATTAGATGACATGTATCTGAAATCCTATGAATAGGAATAGAAAAGAAGATGCCCTTTGGTTCACATCATAGGATTTTTTCCATTGAGTCTAGGCTAATGTTTATTTTCCTATAAAATGTGGAGGATAGGAAGAATTCCTCCGTAGGAATAGGATTCTATTCCTACAAACCAAAGGGATCTAAAGGAATTTTTCCTATACAAATCCTATCTTATGGGATTCCTACAAAATTCCTACAAACCAAAGGAGGCTTAGGCGTTTTTGCTAAGATGGTGATGGTGTCCTGGATTAGGGGTACTAGCCATGTCGGCTCCCATTATTATGGGACATATGGGAATATCAACTAGTGGGCCATGTTTGCCAGGCCCAGGAGCGTCAAGAAGGAATCTACCGAAGACGTGGTGCACACTCCAAGACTTAGAGGCGATCTTCGGCACGTTTACCCTTAGATATAACCGACCTATGTATACGATCGAAGTAGGTCTAGAGGGGGTGATTACACTACTTGACAAATAAAAACCTAGCATTTTCCCAATTTTAGTTGCGGGCAAGTTCTAGCAACAAACCAAAGTCAAGCATCAATCTGCACATGCAAGTATAGAGTAGTGGGCAACGGAAAGTAAGGCTTTGCATATGAACTTAAAGGTGGGGATCAGAGATATCAAACGCAATGAAGACACAATGATTTTTGGTGTGGTTTCGATAGGTGGTGCTATTGTACATCCACGTTGATGGAGACTTCAATCCACAGAGGGTAACGACTGCGAGAGTCCACAGAGGGCTCCACCCATGAAGGGTCCACGAAGAAGCAACCTTTTCTATTCCATCATGGCTTACGCCCATGAAGGACTGGTCTCACTCGGGGTAGATCTTCACGAAGTAGCCGATCTCCTTGCCCTTACAAACTCCTTGGTTCAACTCCAAGCTTGGAGGCTCCAAAGTGACACCTAACTAATCTAGGAGACACCACTCTCGAAAAGGTAATAGATGTTGTTGTTAATGATGAACTCCTTGCTCTTGTGCTTCAAGAGATAGTCTCCTTAACACTCAATCACTCTCTCACATATTTTGCATGGTGGTGGGAGAAGGATTGGAGTGGGGAGCAACTTGAGGGGGCTAGAAATCAAGGATCAAATGGTTGGAGTGGAATGCCTTGATCTCAACACAAGTGTAGGTGGTTCTCTCTCAAAAAATGGATATGTGAAGTGTAGTTTCGTCCTGGTTGCTCTCACTGAGAGTAGGTGGTGTGGGTGGGGTATATATAGCCATCACCAAAGATCTAGCCATTACACACTTTATGCATAACTCGGTGACACTGAACGGAAATCTCGGTGAGACCGACCTGTGCAAAAGATTTCAACTTTGGACATTTCGGTGAGACCAGATGGATACACTTGGTGAGACCAATTAGCGATGACCTAATCAGTACCTCATCTTGGTAATTATGTTTGGTTTCACTCGGTGATTCCGAAGTGAAATCAATTGTTTACAGGAACTTGGCACATGCACTTCGGTGGGACGGAATGTCATCTCGGTTGTACCGAGTTTCTACGTTTTGGCTTATGGTAGTATCTTGAGTATGTC